TTCATTCACTGACTGATCACCTTTGAATACTTAACACCTTATTCAATTTCATTTCCAAATTGTTTTATTCATCATTCACAGTTATTTTCATAAACATACGAATTCGTAATACCATTTACTTTCTAGTATAGTTTATCATTGTAAAACGTATAATCATGTAAAACTGTGATAAACATTTAATTAAAAAAGACACATTCTTTTATTTTACACGTTTTTAATACATTTTACCAATTGTCAATATTCTTTGTGTATGTCAACAATAAAATCATATAATTCAATCTGATTTAAATAAATTTTTTTGGAGCACAAAAAAGTGGTAAATTATTATTATTATTGTTCTATTTTAGTGAATTCTATAGAGTAAAGTTGTTAGAAAAATTTATGATTCATGATTTCTTTGAAAATGAACAAGTTCTGTTAAAAAGTGAAATTTCATTTTTGCTAATTATATAGTTTCTTTTTTTCAAAACTTTTATAAAACATGTTCAGTGAAATATTTTAGGCAATTATTAATTATGGTATAAACCAATACAAAATATTGGCTTAAATAAATTAAAAAAAAAATAAATATTCTGTATCAACGATAGTTTTTAATGATAACTGAAAAAACGAAACGGACAAATGGATTAATTATGTCTACGTTTCCTCTTTTTGATACTGACTACACATAAAATCGTTTTCACACAAACTTCTAGATGATGTCATGTTCTTACAATGGTTTTACGCAATAATATATTTGTACACATGAAAATGTAGATTTCTCATAAATATATGAATTTATTTCTGTTATGGTTTCCGAGTCTTATTGAAAGTAACTAGTATCATTTTATTGTCATGTCTTAAAACACAGCGCTCATCAAGAAGGATTATGGTTTTACTGTGCCGTTTAAAGTTCAATACAACAGTTCCATCAATCCTTCTCAAAAGACTATGTGAATAGTCATTTTACTTGGAATTTTAGCTAGTTTTTCCATCATTCTGTAAGAAAACCTTTCATTACTCTTTTAAGTGGAACATGTGTTGTTTAAATTAATTAATTTTACTGATTATTGTGTTTATATTGTATAAAATGAAACTAAGCCACTGAATGCAAACTGTAATCATGTCATTATTAAACACAGAATAAATAATTGATAGAAATGAGTTAATTAAAAGATGATCAAAATGAGGTAAATACTCCATGAACTGATTAAATGTACTGAGATAATACAGGTAAATTTGTGATCATGAGGCTTATGGGGAAAGTTACTTAGATCTAATTGCTACATTGTTCAATTTATTTACTCTAATCGAACAATTTGCCTTGCCGTAAGTTCTATTGATTCAGTTTTCTACGCTATTGAACATTTATCATGACCATGTAAAAATGTTATCAATACAGTCAGCAAGAAAACGTGACAGTATTTAGTTCATATAAGGTTGAATTAACTAACCACTCGAAATAATCTAATCATATCACACTAACATTCTGATTCATGCGTGTAAACATCTTTATCCGAAAACTAATTAGTTATAAAAATAAAATTTCTTAATTAAATATGTTGTGAAGAATAAATAATGAATCTCCAAAATCTTGAAACGGTTTTTCCCTAAAAACTTCATAGATTTAAACAATGCAAAAACAACAAAAGTCAATAAATAAAATAAATAAATCGTATTTTATTTTAGTGATTAGTAGTTAGCCACATACAGACTAAACTTATGAGTAGAGCTTAAAATCTATGAATAAAACACAGTGGTGAAGGCTCTACACTTTTAAGTCCATAATTATTGTGTTGTTTTACAGAATGCCTAAATAAGGCATACATTAATGAATTAGACAATACAATATGTTGAAAATGATGAAAGTATGCAACTATTCTATTATCATAGGAATACTTAACCATTGTGTTATTTATTTGTAAGCATCAGAAAGGTCATTTTTATAAAAGTCAGACAGATTAATAATAAGGTACACATTTTTGAAACCATGAATCGATCAATGTTAGACCACCATTGGAAACCTGGAAGCACTGGACAGCCGTTTCGTCCTGGTATGGGACTCAGTAGTGCGCAACCACGACTCCTGCACCCAGCAGGATTCAAACCCAGTACCTTCGGTATTGTAGGCTAACGCCTAACCATCGGATCACTAAGCCGGTATCTAACGGTGTTAATGTCTAACTTGATCAATTCACGGTAAGGTGTTAAGTTGTTATCAAAATAATAGTTCATTAAATCGTCTGAAGAAAGTGCATAGTAGGTGAATTTCGTGTCTTAACCATGGAGATAATAATAGAAATGTTTTTGTGGTCAAAGTAACTATGATAAAAATGAAAATAAATAAAGAATAAATAAAAAATTCCTGTGAATTAGAAAAGATGAATGAATGTGAAGATTAACAAAGATATAAATCGAAAAGGAAAATGGAATGGGGAGGGGGAATAAAAGGTTTATGATGTCTAGTTTAGGTCACTGGGGATTGTAAACAGAGGCTGAATATATCTCTTGAAAATATATTGGTTAGTTTTTTGGAAGTTAATCTAGATCGCTTTAATTAAACAGTAGAATTGTAATGTAGATTGTTCACAACTTGGTACAGAACAGCGAAAACTTCATCCGTTTTAATATGATATTTACTATTTGCCAATTGAAGAATGATGGTAATGTTATTTTCATTCATTTACTGCTTTTCCAGACCGTGCTGATACATCTATCCGAGCATATAAGGATAAAGCTATCTGTCTACAGCCACAGGAGCAGTCGAATTAGTATACACACATGGAGGAGACTGTGATTGGTAGCCTATCCTTGATTCGTTGTATGAACACTAATTTGGTTTGAAAGACTAATTGTCCTATCGATAGATCTTTTAAGTCAACGTGTCAAAATGTCACCCGTTATGCTCTCTTTAAAATTGAGTTCTAGGTAGAGGACTTTCCAGCTGTGTAAGAATTTGTTCTAATTTTCCATTGTTTCAGGAATTTTCTGATAAACTTAACTAAGTGGCCACTGTTTCATGATATCTTTTCTTTTTTGTTTACTTCCCGATCTATACTATCTCCTAAATATAACAGTTTCACTCTATGGCTGAAACATACAACCAAATTTATTTAGTTCTGAAGAGGCGCAAAGCCTCGATTTGGAGTTTGTGCTGATATTGTTGTTCAGAAGAATAAGGAAAGCTCCACAACCAAAACACTCAGCTCAGAGAACGAAACTACATCACATCCATCCAGCTAATCTACAAATTTTCTCCACCACCTCAAAATCATGTGAGCGTGATAATGACCCGTTCATGTATTATTTCTTAATATATTTCTTTCTATGGAACCATCAATCTCTCTATAAACCAGGACACCAAAGAGAACTATACTGTTATCATTCTCCTCTTCGTTGATGAATTTAATAGTTAAGTGAACGTTAGTAAAACTGTTCAACAGCTGTTGTTTGTTAATAATTTCATCATACACGATCAGTGTGCCATCTATGTATTGACAGTAATCATCTAGCCAAATCAATATGTCTTTCAAAAGTCAATTTTGCAGTGTGACTGGAAAACTATCAACGAGGATCTGATTTGTGGGAGAGATCCAATCACTACTACATCACTTTGTTTTCAGAATTTGTAGTTACACAAAAAGTGCGTATTCATTGTACATTTCAACAGAAGCTACTTCAGTTTACTTATTCAGACTGATATCACTGTATTGTTTACTAGAAGTTGTTGAACTACACATTCGACAGTTTCCGTCAGTTGAAATTTTTGTGAACAAAAATTATATGTCTAGCGAGAACATAGTTTTGTCATTAATTTTCATATGTTTTTGTGAAATTCAAATACGTCTTTAACCTTGTAATTAACCAAGTCTGGACATAATGGTTCTAATAATTTTACCAGCCGTTTTGTAATTGAATAGTTTGTTAGATTTGACATGTCTAGGATCGAATGTAAAGGAAGCCATAGTTTATGAAACTTAGGTACACCACAAAATCGGAATGTGTATGTCCCAGAGGGTTTGGTTCACTATAAGTATACTTAAAGGTGTATTGTTGTTCTTTTGAAAGCTATGAAGCCGTAGTTAGTAGATATTCAGTCTTTAAATAACCCAAGCTTTTGGAATTTAGCTTGATCACCTAACAAGGCACTCATGTAAACTATGTAATCCATCTTGTTTAGAATGACAGTACCTGGTCGTTTATCTGATAACTATGTTTTGCAAAATAATAATGACAAGTAGGTTCCTTGTTTGTTAATTAGTTTAAATGCTGTACCAGTGTTCACTTTCTGTTCGCTTTTCATCAGATTCCTAGTGATTCTACTTGTGAAAACTTCTAACTTTCACAGGAAGATTTCTAGAAACTATTCAGGTAGTTCTTATTTTACACAGACATGTTCTCGTGTATACATGCAAATCCACAAATCCAATCGTAAATTTCTGATTATACATTTTATCTCTGATTCTTTTCATAAGGATTTCAGGTTACGACTTGAATATTCGTTTGGTCTACCTAAATTAAATTATATCCGAATTGCTCATTTGTAATTTTCAACTATTTATAAGTTGATATGAAGCTAATAAAATGAAAATCAGTTTATATTTATTAAATAAACTATTTCACCTTGACTTTTGTTTAAATTTGATTCAATAATCAAATTATATGAAATCCTTATAATTTATTAAAATTTTGCAAAAAATGAAACTATTCAAATACACGCAAGTATGTTGATAAATAAACTTTCTAGTTTTTTTTCCCCACAACAATATAGAGATATGAAATATACTCATAAATGAAAACATGTATATATAAATAAATATAGTAGTAGTTGACGATATCACGAATACAATGTACAATTAAACACATGAACATTTTACACACGCACACACACAAAAAAAATCAACCTTTATTAATAGATTTAATAATGAATTCCATTTTAACCAATCGATAAAAACGATATTTTTGCTTCAAGTTGAAAAAAAGAAAACTTTGTCAATAAAGTGTTTTTTGTTTTTCTATTTCACACTACCAATGTCACATATTGGTTATTTGCAATTCGGATAAATTTGATCTAATTCTTCTTTGGATACAGTTGCAACACTTAAACGACTAGGTTTATCTTGTTTTCTTTTATAATTTTGTTGTTCTTGATGTGCATTATGAAAATTCGGATTGAAATCTGGAATTTGATCAGCACTTTCTTGTTCTTCTAAAATTTTCTCTTCTTCTTCTTCAAATATTAAACATCCCACACCCATGATACCGACCACTTCATCTAATAGATGTCCCCATGCACTTCTTACATCATCTGTAAATTCTTCATATATTAATCGTCCCCATGTCATTAAAATTGCTTCTTTTATAATCTGCAAAAGAAAAAAATATGTAAAAAAGTAAAAAGTTAAAGTAAATATAAAATTTTTCAAAAAAAATAAAATAACTGTAAAAGTTGAAAGGAATTATTTCTGATGCAACTGAGTGAGCTTCGATAATCATGTCAGAAATTAATTTTCGCTTTATTTTCGCAATATCACGTAAACAAATTCCAGCTGTTAGTAATTATTAGAAGAGATGGATGGTAATAAGGAAAAGAAGTCCAGTGGAATTTCAGAGCTGATATCCACTCTGGAATCCCAGCCTAGTACTGTTTGTAGGTACATCCTACTTCAAAGTTACAGATCGGTCGAAAACACGAGTCCTAGATTCCACTACTAGCCAACGTCCACTTCTGTTAAAAATGCATTGGATCTGACGAAAATATCAAGACAATACAACCAGGGTGCATATATGCCAAAGATACTGATCAGTTGAAGTCGTAAACATCAATGGTAGATTAAAGCAACCATTTCAAATGAATTACTAGTAATTATGTTTTCACAAAGACTGTTGAATAGTGAATAGATGATGATTTTGGATGCATATTGGCTGAATTTAATTGCATGATCCACAGAACATAGCGGTGGTTCGATCATATGCGCATTTGTCATAAGGTCTCCGGGTCAAAGTTGCTACTTACCTGAAAGGTTTTAAAATTCAAACTATGATGAAATGACCATATTTAGGTTATCTTTTCTCAGTGTTTATTGGTCTAAATGCTGGTTATAATATAAACTACAAATCTAACATTAATCGCAAACATTTTTGTTAATAACTCATTGATCAATCAACAAACAGACAATTTCACAGTGTTAACAAACAGTTTAGTCTTTCTGTTGAAGAATATTCAACCCTATCGTAGCGAGTTTTTACACTGTGGGATCATTAGATCGAGTACTATTTATGTAATCTGAGAGATGAATTCATTATAATCAGGATAAAAAATATACGAAAGATTATTTTTCAATGTAATAAGTCAGCTCTTAATTCGTGTACGCCCTATATCAGTTTTGTTTCATAAAATCTTATTATGTGCTCAGATAACTTTGAGCATTATATTCATAAATGAAATGAAAATATAAAAATATGATCTCAGCCTATACACAGGAAACTTTTCTACATATATTTGGTCATTCAATAATCATCCTTTCCGGATATTTAAAGGATAATCAATGCATAACTACAGTGGATTTATGATTTCCAACATTTTCACCAATGGTAACTAAAAACATTTATAATTGTTAGTTACTGTTAGATGTTAAGGCGATTTGATGATTGTAGCTGATTTACGAGTTGATCTGAATCAGTATCCGACCAGATATGAGTTGTCTTTACAGCAAAATTTTATCAAACTTAGTCGATTATGCAAGGCAATGCAGAAGAATATACAATATTAAGCTAAGTATAAATTACTAAACAATAAGATACTAAACTTCATAAAAAATAAGAACTGTAAACGTAAAACTTATCTCCTAATTACCATTTGTTGGAGACATTAGATCCCCAGAACTCATTTGATAAAAGTCTTAATCTTGGATTTTATTCATGAGATGATCAGATGACATTGAGATTACATTTCCCACCGGGAAGATTTTAGGCTGTGATTGGTTGGTGTATTATTTTAGTAGTTTATTTTTGTGGCTCTCCTATGGACGTTTCTACGATGTATAAATAAACGCGCTTTGTGTGCTTGAGATCATTATATTTTCTGGGTGTTTGTAGAATACACTTTCTACACCATATCAAGACTTTTTCTTCATTTGCTTGGGGCAGCGGATCAGAGTAGCCTACCGTGTCACTGGTTGATTGTCTCGTTCTCGTTTATCGACTAAGGTGAACTCGTAATAGTTTCAAGCATATCAAGTGATGAGCATAACACCATTTGACTTACTCGATTGTATATCTGATTAAGTCAGTCATAATATAATGAAATAATGTAAAATACGAAAATTATTTCTAAGGTAATAAAATCTCTTTAGTCATTTTATCATTACCCTACAATGTTCTGAAATAAGAATGTATAACTAACCTTGAAATATTCAATTTTCATGTTACGTATAGCAGCGTGTTTTGCTCCGAGTAATGCTAATTCTTCATATAATGATTTACTATCGCCTTCTAATGCTTTAACAGCCATATGTATTACTCGCATAACTTTTGCTGAATGTTTTTTGCAATCTGGACTATCCACAAGAATTTCAGGACTAAGATGACTAGAAATATTTTTAAAAAAATATGCATATATATATATATATATATATATATATATAAATTACAAAGTATAAATTATGTAATTAATTTGAACTACACGATACACATAACTAACAAAGTAATTAAAAAAATATGTTTTATTAAATTTGTTCTCAACACAGACTCTTCTTAAGCGGTTATGTATTGAAAGTGAGGAAATAGATGATATATGCTCCATTATAAGTTGTGACTATTCAATAAAATATTTATTAACCGATTAAAAATCACATCCAAAGTATTTTAGCCTCACGTCCAGCATAAAACTTAACAAGTCAATTGTTTGCCTATTGTTATAATAACGCTGATTTGACATAATATATTCCATTGTTAAACTTTCGATGCTAATTAAAAGCCTTCTCTTCATTACATATCATTATTCTGTTGTTTAACTGTTTCAAGGACAGAAACTCTACGAATGTTCAATAAATAAAAGTGATAAAATGTTGAATTTTGATAACTAAATTTTATTATTTATTTTCAAATTATACTCAAATGAAATATTTTTATAAACACATCAGGTGGTGTGAATGATGTTAATTACTCTATTTGTTAAGCAAAACCTAAAATCGTGATTCGTTTGTACTTAATTTTAGATTCAAGAGTAGATAAAGGAATGTAAATTTTTCAAAACTAAAATCCTATAACTGTCATGGATTATTTTACTGAAGCACATAAAGAGTTATTGCTACCTTATGTTGTTAATAATTGTTATTGTCAATACAGGAAATGTATATATCCTTCAGGTGAATGCATTCTGTTCCATTGTTTGTAAATAAGCAAATCAAAAGGCAATACCTAATGACGTCATTTCCTTAAATACAATTCTTTTGATAACTAGTTATCTTTTTTTATTCATTTCAATTGCATTAAAAAGAGTAAAAAATGATCAAAGTTGCATAATTGCAATTAACTAAACTAATAACGTAATAAATTTCGTTTTTTTTTAGAAAAAAACCCATGTAATACATTACGCTGTTCATAAGTACATAAGCTCGTAATCAGGTTTATCACAGAAAGTGTCTTGTTATTCCCATTTGACTAGTAAAATTGCAATAAGCAAAGAGGGGCATCCAAACCTTCGACATTCTGATTCAACCAATGAATACCACCTCTATTACTTTTAAGTACTGCATCGAAAATAAGCTTCAAAGTAATGCTTCATCATGGAAATGATCAAGTGTATGATATGGAATATTAAGATGGTTTTGTCTTATTTTGACACACATTACGAAAAGCACCTAACTGCGTCATAAGACAAGCCCTCACTTGAAACTCTGAAGGTAAAAGGAAAAGAGGAAGGCCAAGGAATACATTACGTCGAGAAATAGAGAAAGATATGAGAGGAATGAATAAACATTGGACAGAACTGGAAAGGGAAGCCCAGGACAGAGTTGGTTGGAGAAAACTGGTGGGTGGCCTATGCTCCATTCGGGGTAACAGGCGTAAGTAAGTAAGTAGGTTTGTCTTATTTTGCAATTTTCGAAAAATAACATTACATTTCTAATCGATCCGAGAATGAATTTATCTACAATGCTATATTTGTTTACATATATAAGTGCTTTATTTTTCTAGACATGGTAAAAAAAACTCTGTGAAAGTTAAAAAAAACACTAGGAGAAAGGCAAATGTTTTATTTTATATTTTGCAAAAAATCAACAAATACATGAAATTTTGGTTTCGTGTTTAGTTAAATTATATTATTTATCTTTTTTTTCAATGAATATATCGTGTGTAGACTAACAACGTGGAATCAAAAAACATAACAATTTCATCGGTTCAGTTCTCAACTGAAGATAATAATGAACTATATCTATATATATAGATCGTTGTTATAGTAACGTTATGAGTAAAAGTGATATATTTTGAACGAAATGAAGTAGAATATATTCAAACAAAACTTGAAAGTGTACAATAGCAAAAAGAACCATTTGTTATTTTTTTCCCACTGTATACATGAATGTATGATAAAGAAATGAAGAAATAATTTTCAAACTAGAAGTTCCTATTCACTGTATCGTTTATTATCATAATATATTTATATTTTAATTGACAGATATTTCTTAAGACAATAATTCTTATCAACAGATAACTTGCATCGCATCTATTATAACTGTTTAATTATTTACTGATGCTTTGATTAAAAAAATTTTCAACTGATATGACATCATAATATTTGAATATAAATTATTAATTTATTCACTCCTTGAAATGTTCTAAGCTACTACTAATTCGCGAACCATTTGTCCATGTTTTTAATTTCTATTAGTTGATAGTTGTCAGTATAAATTTATAATTGTTGCCACTGTTCTCTCTGTACTGAGGAGTAACGGATTAAATAAAACAAGACAGTTGTTCAATGTAGGTTGAGGTTTTGTTTATTTACTAGCTAAGAATTGGTTATAAAAAATTTTCCCGAATATTCTATTCAGCTATATCATGATAGTTCAGCAAACTTATTGGAACATAATAAACTTAATAAACTGGTAATGTTTTTTATGTATAGAATATATATATATATATATATATATATATATATATATATATATCAAATCGACAGTGATCTGATGTTCATCATGACATTTAAAAGCTAACTGGCATTTATTCATACAGTCATAAAAAGGTAACCATTTGTTCAACACAGTGTTTTAGGCATTTTCATTTCTTCTTTTAGACGACATAATGTTTGTTTAGTTTTATCATTGTATCTTTCAGTTTGATCGTGAAGAAAACTTTATCTACAAAGACAGTGTGATTTATTTGTACATATAACTCTGGAGGGACAGTAGTTGTCTAAATGCTTAACGTTGTTGAAACTTATTGTTTACTGTAAGACTTGACAAGAGATATATTTAATGTATTCTGACAGTAATGCGTTAGATGTTATTAACAATATGTAATTAATCTTCATACAACTGTAACTTCAGTCGATTGACATTTGGATTATTGAAACGTTCATGCTATCTAAAGAAAGTTAATTGTTATATTTTTTTGTTTAATTAACGAAACTATTGAACAATATATATATATCTATAGACTTTCATTACATGCGTTATTTAACTTAAAATACAATGCATATCTATATATATAATTACAAACTTTCATTTAATTTCATGTTCAACCAGAAATCGACCAACAAAAATGAATTATTAATTTCATATTAATACTAATCATTCATTATTTAATTAAAGTCAACATAATAAATTGATAAATTAATTAATTATTTATGACAAAATGAAATATGCTTTACTAAATGAGACGGAATATAATTCATCAATCCAAGTTTTTTAAAAAAAAATGATGAATTCAAACAAATTATATATATATATATATATTCAATATTTTCAATGACATGAGAAATGTTATCGTATTGAAAAAACATCAAAATGATTGCAAAAGGAAATTAGATATAGTTTATGGGAGAATAAAATATCCAAAATGAAGTTTCAATTGAATGTTATTTTACATTGTGAAATGATTTCGGTTAAACATTCATTGCAAACCTAAAGTTATTATTTCCAAATGAGAAGTTTGGAAAATCGAAGCCAAAACATGTAAGCCTTCTTAATATGTTGTTACCTTTAGAACATGTCTAGAATTCTGTGAAACTGTGATATCCTGATGCTATCATCTGTTCTCCTAACCAGTGCACATACCAATTCAAACTTGTCTGATCGTGGCTAGCCATTAAAATTTCAACAATCTTCCAAAACGTTTGTAATTAATGAACAATTATGAGAATGGTGAAAATATAACAGAGGAAAGCAAAAAAATGGGTGTCACAAAAAACCAGAGATTTGCATATTTTGGTTTCTGAAATCATTATATCAGTCATTCAATTTTATAATTTGAGTGATTTATTTTGATGAAAAAATTCTCTACATCAAATGAGTTCTTTATTCAATGTCAGTTTATCAGTTTGACTGTGTTTCATGGTTTTATTTACTAATTTAACAAGTGAACCAAAATAGTTTTGAATCTTAATGAAGTATAATTTTGAATTAAGATAATTGTAATTTTCAATAATCATATTCTTCTCAATATAAATAATAATAATAATAATAAAACGTTCTTTTCTCCTTAACTTCTTGTGTTTAGTTAGCGAAAATACATCAATTAGTTTGGCACTTTATTTCAATGAATCAGAGAAAATCCATTTATCTATATATACAAACTTTTAACATACAGAAAATCCTACTGTATACAATAATTATTAGCAAGATACAAGTAATTGATATAATAGGTGTGCAATACTGATCATATTCATGACGACATTTTAAATGAACGAAAAAATGTTGTACGAAGATGAATATAAAAAATAATATTTTTTCCAAATTTCAAGAGTTTTACATGTCACTTAGTGGAATAATAAATTTTTTTTCAGATCATGAAATTTGAAACCATCTTTTGTTTATTGCTTTCAATAGAATTACAATTTATTGTGTTGTGTGTATGTGTATCACTGGTTTCGTGACGATTTATATTCAACGTGTTCTTAAGCTTCATAATTAGCTCGTCTAGACAATCGTCACTGAGTAGCGCCTGACGGTTATAAATCAGAAAGCAAATACAAAGTGATGAATATGTTTATTTTTAGTACACCACAATTAGAACAGCAGACCACAGACATGCGAGTGCAGGAATGCAAGCAAGCGAAGTAGCGAATCGGCGAATAAAATGAAGTGGAGAAGGCCAGTGAGCCAACTTCAAGAGATAAAGCATAACTAAGAATTTATAGTCAGACAAAAATAAGACAGACATGTAACAAGCGAAATGTGCATGCACACATATGAATGAAAGCGACGATTGATTGACAAGGTCAAAAGACAAATGGGACAAGTCATGTGAGCTAGACATTGAATGATCCACTACAAATGTATCATTTATTTTGACAATAAAAAATATGTAAACATTATTAATCTATGTACATTTTGAATCAAAATGAAAATCAAAATGAATTTGTAAG